CCCCGGCGCTGACTCACCTGTTTGCAGGCAGAGCCGCCGTGCGGAGCGCCCGGACGCGCCAAGAGGGCCCCGCAGGGGAGCGCAGTCACCCCCAGGCCTCAACCACTGCTCGAGGGGGCTCTGTGGGGCAGGGGTTGCTCTCATTGGGCTCTGTGCTTGGGCGCGGGGACAAGTGTCAACGGGGGGTCTGCCTGGTGACGTCCCCACGCCACCCCTCGCTGCCAACAGAGGTGGCCACAAGCAGCAGGGGCCAAGAAGCCACCGCCGCTTGCGGTCCCAATTGCCTCCCCTTCCTCAGCTGTGAGGAAGACCAAGAACCAGCTGAAGGGCAGAGCTCAAAGGGCTGCAATCAGAGCCGGGGAGTTTAGTGGGAGGGCGGTGTGCCCGGGGGTCCCAACGGGGTCCAGCCTTGTCCAACTTCTTCACCTATGATGGGGATGAAGGGACTTGGTCCTGCGCAAGATCCTCCTGGAGCAGAAGGGCTGGATGGTGTCGAGAGGTCCCATCCTCAGCCCTCCTGTGGTCAGTGATGACCCCCTACCCTGCTGTTGGGTACGGGGCTTCGGGCAAGGGGGACACCTGCCCCACGCACCGTCCACGGACCCCATGGGACCAGCGGGGACGTCTCGTCCTCCAGCCACGGTGTCTCTGCAGCAAGAACAGATGAGGGCAGGCGACACTTTTGGGGATGTGGAGCCCCATGCTGGTGATCCGTGGTGTTGGGACGTTCCCCCCAGCTTCCCCCCCGCTGCGGGGCTCAGCCAATAGGAGGGAGCCCCCGCACTGCGTCACCTGCTCCCAGGGAGAGCAACAACACGGAGCACCCTGAGGAGAAGGTCGGATGCCCCAACGGGTCCCGCAGCTCCCGGTTCTGCCCGGTGACAACTGATCACGGAGTACCCTGAGGAGAAGGTCGGATGCCCCAAGGGGTCCCGCAGCTCCCGGTTCTGCCCGGTGACAGCTGATGCCGCCCAGCGCCGCCGCTCACTGGTCGGGGATTCGAGCCCCGTTGGGCTCCCTTGGGCTCCGGCGCCTTCACATCCTCCTTGGGGAGCTGCCATGGGGACCGTCCGTGCGCAGGGGGACAGGAGGTGCTGGGCTGGGGCCGTGCTGGTGGCCCTGGTGGCCCTGGGAGCCCACGGGGCTCGTGGCCAGGAGACCACAGGTGAGTGGAGCCCTGTGGATGGGGTCAGTGGTGGCGTCAGGTCCCACAGACGCCCTCTGATTCACTCGGTTTGGGGCCACCAAGGTGTCCCCGTGTCCCCACCCATGGGTAGCGGAACCCCCGTAGCCTCCCTGGGGTGGGTGATCCAGGCCCCCTCGAGCTGCCTCCGTCTGCGTCCCAGGGTATTTCCAGGAGATCCGGAGGTCCGAGTGCCACTACCTCAACGGCAGCCAGCGCGTGAAGCTGCTCGAGAGATACCTCTACAACGGGCGGCCCTTCCTGCACTTCGACAGCGACGTGGGGCGCTACGCGGCTGACAGCCCCCTGGGCGAGCCGGACGCCGAGTACCTCAACGGGCAGGTCGAGCTGCTCCAGAAGAGACGGGCCGAGGTGGACGCCGTGTGCCGGCACAACGCCCGCGTTTGGGGCCCTTACACCACGCGGAGGAGAGGTGAGGCCATGGGAGCCCATCACAGCTGGACCATGAGGACATGGGGCCCAACCTGAGGTCCCCAAGTAGAGGTAGGATGTCGGTACCCGGCTCAGCTCGGTCCTGCTTCTTCCCTTCCAGTTCAGCCCGAGGTGGAAATTTACCCCGTGCAGTCAGGGTCGCTGCCCCAAACGGACAGGCTGGTTTGCGCCGTCATGGATTTCTACCCGCCGGAGATCGAGGTGAAGTGGTTCAAGAACGGGCGGGAGGAGACGGAGCGCGTGGTGGCCACGGAGGTGATGCGGACCGCGGCCTGGCCCTACGAACA